TTTTAACCCTAAATGTGTGTAATTCAAGAAAAAGTAGGCCTACAAGATATTACATGAAATTATGGAATCACACACAAGGGCTTGCCAGTGTCAGTATTCCGTTTTGGTGGAGACACGCTCTAACGTAACACATTTATATTTTTTAAAGGGTAGGAACAGCATTAAATTAAATGACATTGCGCTGTATAAACACCGGAAAAAAAAGACAACAACAAACCTTCAGAACAATTTTTAGACAAATTAACGTTCCAACAAATTAAAACACAACAAAGAGTGTGGGGGGGGGGGGGGCAAACAGCAATATAAATAGTATGTAATGTAGGCTACTTATATTCTCCGCTTGAAAATAGATACACATGGACATCTTATAACTTATCAAAATACATGTCTAATAATTATGAAGTAGCTTTGTTGTTTTGTCTTTTTTTGAAAAATGCAAAAATCGCCGCGATTCGCGGACCCAAAAAATGCCAAAAAATCGCGGCCGCGACAAACGCAGATGCTTGAACTTGAAGAGCATTATCATTAATTGCTTTCGGACCTCACTGTCCTAGCAGCTCAATACGCCTGACTTGTCAGATAGACCTTAGTAATTCTGAGGTAGCGATGTAACACTAACACCGTCATACGTGTACATGTGTTCTATGATTATGATCATTAAATTTTTAATTTTTTTTTTTACGTTGCGACGGCACGATGAAATAAATCCCACAGAGAGCACTGTTCCTCTACTCTGGCCTGTTTTCTTGTAAAGTTGTTGTTTTTGGTAGGTTTGAAGTGTTTTACGGCATTCGCAACTACATGAGCGCGTGGGACGCATTAAACATTTTCTGTTTGGTAGGAATTTTGAATTTTGCCCGGGTGGCGGCCGAAGCCTACTCTTTATCGATTTTAGGATCACCAAGGGAACTTTAACTTGCACACGAACGAGGCCTCCAAAATTTTTCTCCCGTACCCGAGAAGGCTTGGTGTTAGCTTTAAGATCAGGGGTGTAGCTGGAATACAGCAGTAAGACTATTAATAAGGAGCTAAGAAGTAGCAGTAGAAAGGCTGCAGTCAGAAAGAGTCAAGAGCCCAGAGGAGGGGGCAGAAAGTGGAGACGAAAGCAGAAGACAAAACGTGCTTAGAGTTAGGGAGCAGGAAAGGAGGTGAAAGGAGACAATTTTCCTATGAACTTAATTTTTTTTTAAATTGGACTGCTTTATGACCTCAAGGTTTCCTCACCAACGTGTACTTGGATTTGTTCTATCGGAGAAGGGTGTTATTAGTGTAGTGTTAGATTTTAGAGCTAACTTGACTTATCAAACTCAAACAATTCTGCGGTGTCGGAGAAAGGACGTTGAACTGTTCATACCACATCATGTTTTTTACGTTCAGTTTTTTCGTAAGAATTTTACGGCACTTGCAACACAATAGGTCATATTATACGTGACAAAGATTAGAGGTGTTACAGACTTATTACAAGAGAGTAACAAACACAAAAAAGGTGGGGAGATAAAGACGATAGATGTTTGACAGGAAAGAAAAAGCAAACCGCACCAGAGCACGTATCTTTTATAGAAAACGGAATTTGGGGGATAACAGAGAAGTCACCAAGGCTCTAGTACTGGATATTTGTATATTTTCGAGTCCAGTTTGAAAATGTCTAAACTGGTGTCATATATGTCTTTTAAGTAGGGCCTAATGGGGCTCTCGTGGCCTAGAGGTTAAGGTGTTGGCCTCTCATTCAAAGGTCCCGGGTTCGAATCCGGGTAGCGACCGGAAAATTTTCTTCTCTAAAATTGTCTCCTTTCCTGCTCTCTAGCAATGTTCTGTTGTCTGCTTTCATTTCCACTTTCTGCCCCCACCCCCTCACCTCCTTTGCCCCCACCTCTGGGCTCCTGACTCTTTCTGCAGCCTTTCTACTGCTACTCCTTGGCTCCTCCTTACTGCTGTCTTTCTGCCACACCCCTGATCTTCTGGTAGGAAAGATCTACAACTAGCCTTCTCGGACAAGGGCGAAAAATCTCGGAGGGCCCGTGTGCAAGTTGCGCACGTTAAAGATCCCTTGGTTGTCTAAAATCGATAAGAGTAGGCTTCGGCCGCCACCCGGGCAAAATTCAAAATTTCCTACCAACTGAAAATATTAGGTGTGTCCCGCGCGCTCATATGACCTATGCAGTTGCGAGCGCCGTAAAACACTTTACAAAAACAAAAAAAGTAGGGCCTACATATTGCAGTCATTGCAGTTTCACTCTATAATAATGAAACAAACATTTTCCACCATTTTGGTTGTCAATGGCATAGTCCTTAGCAAAGGAAAAAATACAACCCCACTTTTATAATTCTAATCAGGGTCTTTCCAAAGACCAAAAAAATCTAAAACAAATTTAAAGTTGATTTCTTTTTTTTTCAGTATACACAAAATGTGCTTGACACAACTGATTGCAGCACCTAAAGGCATATTTTATGCTACAAAGTCACAGACGTTGTACCCAAAGCGAGTGTTAAACATAATAAAAAAATACAGTAACCTAAAACTAAGATGAAAATGCCTTAAAAATAAAAGGAAAAAACCCCACAAAAACCCCCCCAACAAAACCCAACAACCGAACAATGAACAATCAACAAAGGCAACAAGGAAAAGTTCCATACCACACTTGCTCAATTTATTTCATCTGAATAGGACAGTGGTAATTCTACGTGTATTCTTGCTCTTTAAAAGCGCTCATCAATTCATAAAAGGCACATTACCAGTACAACATGTCTACACATGAGATAACTGCAACAAGGCAAGGGAAAAAAATCCAAATAAAAATCCCACCTCTTCAGCAGTTTCTTTCTGGGTTGCATCCTGCCAGACAATTTTTATACCGTAATAAATTATAAAATTCCAAAATTTTAAAAATGTAATTTCCCTAAACAATGTTCTGACTTTCATATGATTTTTTTTGTGCTCACATAGTCATAACCAATAGCATAGATCTACATACATCTTGCAGAACTCAGGACAATTTCATAATGCATTTAATAATATGAACCAGTGCAACAAAGCCTTGTAAGATTATAACAGCAACTAAACTATAATATTAAAAATTAATATATCGTACATTGCATTTTGAATTTATGATTTCTAGAAGGAAGCATACAATTGAATGACTAGCAGGATTACCTTTTTTTTTTGCCATGGTATAATTCCAAACAGAAGACAGTTTAAAAATAGGACGGTTAAAAGATTAGACTGAATTCAGAGTGTGTCACAAGCACTATA